GCACTGCTGAAGTCGATGCCCAAGACCTGGAAACACTTTATATATATATATATGTATATATATATATATATATTATATATATATATACATATATATATGTATAATGTGTGTATATATATATATATATGATGCTTCTTCTGAGGCCTTCTCTGAGTGTGCCTGTACAGGATTTGGACTTTCTGTACATACCTCTAGCAGTAATGGCCTTCTCATCCCCTGTTGCCTCCAGGCGCCTGTTTCGGTCACTTCCACGCACCAATGGCTTTTGGCTTGGGGCTGCCGTTGCCCCTTTTTCACCAAGGCCCTTGCATTCCGGGCCCCTGCCTTTCAGCTGTGCACTTGCTGAGGATACATCGAGTCCCTCAGTGCCAACGCCCAGTTCTGCCAGTAAGAAGACAAGAGCACCAAAAAACGAATCGGTGGCTCTGGGTCGGTTGCCTTGTCTGCACCTACTTGGGCAGTTAGCAGATTCCTCCTTTTCCTGCCGGATGTGCACTCTTGTGTGCTTTCCCAGCTACAGCCTCGCCTTATGGTTGTAGGGTTGCCTTTAGTGGTTATCATTAAGTTTAGTGAGTGCGCCCAAACATCGAATCGGTGGCTCTGGGTCGATTGCCTCACTTTAATTACCTTTCACCCGTGCCCAACTCGGCCCACAATACCGCTTCCAGCGATGCCTTCTGCGGTTGTTTTGATCTTGGCATGTCACCTCACCCTGAATCCTATGCGCAAAACATCAGGGACGGAGGCTGGGACCCAAGATGAGATTCCGACATTGCCTTCACGGCATTGCTCCATTGCTGCTGCCCGTTGCACAAAGTGGGCTCCTTGCAGTGCTTGCCTTGTGGAGCAGTGCCATTTCAGGACGCCGTTCTCCCCTTGGGTGTGTAGCCTTCCTGCCGCGTGCTGGCTCCGAGCCTGGCCTTTTCATTCCCCTCGAGAAGACTGGCAGCACTATGCCGACACTTGATTGGTCCCCATGATACGATCGCGAAGGGAGGACACAAGACACAGGACAGTGCACGCCCGTAAGAGGCTGGGTAGCATCGATTGGTTGCTACACTTGCTCCTTTCCAAGTTTGGGCCACACCTCCTGGGTTCCATCGGCTACATGCTGTTGGTCGCTACCTCCCTTAAGGGACAGGCCATGCTCTCCTTCTTGGGTCTATGCTCTACCACCCGGTTGCCATGACAGCGCCTGAGAGCGAATTTTCCCGGCATGCTGCAGAAGAGGAATTCATGGCAGTACCCTCTGCCAGAGTCGCTACTTATACCGGAAGTCACCGAGTGCGGCTGCCATGGGATACCGGGCCAACACACCCCGAAAAGGCGCGCATCATCAGCATCAGCGGGGGCCTTGCTCTGGCTGCTACCTGCGCTGCCCGCCCGTGGGCGCAGCCCGTAGAATGGGGCAGCCCGTGGGTTAGGCTGTAGGCCTCAAAGCTTAGCGAAGCTCTAAAGCGAAGCCGTTGAAAAGTGGCCCGCCAACGCCGCCGACCCTGCATCATCGCGCGTCGTGCTTGTCTTGTTGTGCGGCCGGGCTTGATATGGGTTAGAGCTTCAGGGGCTGAGCGCTTGGACCACCGGGTTTCGCGTGGCTATCTCTCCGCCTTTTTGTTGGCTCTGGCAAGAAGCGAACACGCTTTAAATGTCGAGGTTTTCGTGTGATTTCTGTATATGCCTTGTTGCGACGGGTTTTTGTCGTTCAAGACGCTGCTTTTCGAACCTTGGCAACTTGGGGGTGTGGACTTGGTCGCGTATCCTGCGCATCAGCTGGGGGGTCTGTGGTGAGCTGTGGCGCTCAAGGCTCGGAAGATGATGTTAAAACCCCTTTCTAGACTTCGCGTTTCTGCCTTGGAGGACAGGCGGGCCCCTCTGGTATTTTGGGGCGCGCTGATGGGACTCAGCAATTCTGGGAGGGGTCCCGGGTTGGTTGCTTGCGCTGCCCGCACCTGGCGCAGCCCTTAAATCTTGCATTCTATTATACTATATTGCAGTATAGTATAGTACAGTAAAATATGTTACATTATTATATATGAATATGGGGTGTTCTTGGTCTAATGGGGAGGCGTAAAGCACAGGCCGTGGTCAACAAAAAAGACGTACAACAAGCCCTAAACTCTAAACAACCCTAAATTTGCTCCTTCTTGTGGCCGGCTCTGTTGAGGTGTCGGTCCATGAGTCCCTACATGCGGCTAGGGTATAGGCTCAGTGATGATGAGTAGGGCTGATAGGGCCGTGAGATTTGAGAGTCAACAAATCTCGTGGACCTCGCGTGCTCCAAATCCCTGAGAGGCAGACCGTTCCAGGAGTAATATAGGGGCCAAACTACTTGGGGTGCATTCGGCTATAACAGTAATGATGGTAATTATGTAGGCCCCCATGTTACGGCATCGCACAGCTTTACAAGCGCCATGCTGCCCTTTCGCACCAACGTGGGAGTCTCTGCGCACATACCTGACATACCTCGTTCGAGGTGAGTTTCGTGCCATGCATCACCGATGATCCTGGCAAGCATTTGCACTGGGCTAGAGGATGCCAAACACATCAGGATCCCAGGATCGTGTCATCGTTAAAAATCAACATGCCCTTAAAATCTTAAAATGCCTTGAAAAAGATTTCTGTCGGCTTGCCGACACGGTTTGAGCGACTCACCGCACGTCTGGACGGATAGTCTGCGTGTCAATCAAAGGCAAGCAACGCCACAGCGAGACACTGAGGATACCCGACAGTATGAAAAATGTCGCAACGCCAGGAGATCGGTCACCCCAAAGATGCCACGAGAGCTCCAGCATCGCACGGTCCGCCGCCATCAGCGTCGCGAAAAGCAGCATGCCGATGGATACCAGTCCCACTGACAGCATCAGCTGCTGTCGCACCCCAGCAGCAAGGTGTCGAAACTTGTAGGCCAAGCGGAGTAGAATCAGAACCATGCTTGGTATCAGCATCATGCAAAATGTCACAGCTGAAACCATGAGGTCTACTGGCACATTCTGCCTTGCGATGGCCCCGAGCCAGAAGTCCAGAAATAACCAAAACAGAGGGCTGGTTGCCTGCAAAATGCGCCAATACGAGAAAACGCGATTCGCAAGCTGATGGGCCAGTATTGTCATCACATGCTGCCGAACCAAGGACTCGAACTGCTCGGTGGAGCCAAACCAAGATGATATGCATCGAACAAGAATGATTCGGTCACAGATCATGGGCTTACCTGTGAAAGGGTCGGTGTGACCGCAGGAACAGCAGTAGCACAAAGCTTGCTCAATGGTGAAATAGCGGACTTGATTCTGCACAGCATCTATGCTGCGACAATGTTCGAGGACCAAATATGCGAGCACTGTGAAGCAGGGGAAGGACAGACCACATATGATCACTGCACCCCAAGGAAACATTGGCAGCTGCGTAAGTTCGAAGGCTAGCAGGAGTATGCTCAAACCGAGGTGGCCTAGCAATAATGCCGGGCCGACAAACACCGGGCAGGCCACAAGGTGCCGCTGCGCGTCTGCAGCTGGACCCTTGCCATGCAGGAATGCAGCCATTTCCTCAGCGGCTCTTGGCTAACAGCTTGATGCTTAGGTTACTGAGGACCAAAAAATCCTGAAAACAGCAGACTTAAAGGACTTAAACATAAAGCTGCAGTAAAGAGCTACCACTACCAAGCTGCGAACATGCACCAGAGCCTGGAGGTGTAAGAGGAATCCCAAAGAACCAGAAGCGACTTCGAGCGCTTCAATATAGCGCCCATGCTGACCAAGCCCTCAGTCTTCAGCTGATCGTCTACCTGATTGATGCAGGCAACGTCGAAAAAAGCCAGTTTCCCTCTGCGCCAAAGCAGCAAAGTCAGGTAGTAGCTCACAGCACCAGTGAGGACGCTCCATCCGCATTGACGCTCCGCCCTAGACCACGTCGGAAGGACATCAGCCACACAAAGAACGAAGGATGCAAAGGCAAGGAGTGTACCCACCACACAAGCAGGGAAACTGTTGTGCAAGAACAGTATGCTGATGTACTTTAGCCACCCCGGCGTGCGCCAGCTGTGGGACCAAAACTCTTCGAGCTCGCCCGTCGCCTTGCTGTACACATGGAGTGCGTCGAGATCTCCACGAGCCCACATGCGGGGTGTGCGCTGCAGAGCTTGGCACACCGGAATCCCTCGGACGATGTCTGGCCTCGTGGGTTGCATCGATGCCAAGATCTGAATGAAAGTCTCCAGATGTGGGTTGATAACATCCCAGGAGCCATTCGATGCAGAGCTCTCTGAGGGTGCTTTAGAAGCATCCACTACCACTCCCGAAAGCTCAGCAGGGACTCCCAAGCGCGTCTCAAGGCCATTAGCGGACATTCTGTTGATGATATGAATCCTGCACTACCTTAAGGACCCTAAACTATGGGAATTGTGGTATATTCCTTATTATGGGTTATGCAGGATTTATATCATCAACCGTATGGGCCTATGCACTTGGCTGCAGTCCTGATCCATAAGCAAGTCCTCCATGTACGAACAACAATTCCGCTACACTACTTGGGTATCTTTGTTCAAGAAAAACTGCGTGGTCAGCCCTGTGAGCGCATGAACTGGTTCACAATCAAACACGCACATCACTGTGACGTGGGCTTCAAGGAGGCTAGAGCAGCATGACAAGGATCTAGCCATTGGAAGCTGACCCTATAGACAAACCCTGCACGCATCTTCTACCGCTCCACCTGGCCGCTCCCCTTTCGAAACCTTAGCTAGCCTTAGCTGCTACCTCAGCTGCTACCTCCCGAAACCCTAAACCCTAAACCCTAAACCAAGATCCGACATTCCATTGTCCTGGAGTCTCCAAGACTTTAGACGCTCTACAAGTTACGACACCCCACACCTCGCTCTGACTTATAAACGCTAAGCCCTAAACCCTAATTATCCCTACATTCCTACGAAAGGACCGCTCCCCCCGCCTTCCGCCCCTTCACCAAGAAACAGATCCAGTATTGTAACGCTTTTGGTAGCCCGTAGTTGTAGTAACCTTGGGCCTTACATACAGTAACCCTCATAGAACCCACTCTAACCTCGCAACACTCGTAGTCTGCCTCGTTGAACCCGCTGGCTGCCAGTTCGAAGGAGGATCCACCTCGGAGTCTAAGGTTTAGGGGCCCTGGCACGCTCGTTATGGTGTTTTTTGGGCTCTCTTCCTGAAGGGCTTCTGAGGTTTTGGGGTCATAGAGGTCTCTAGAGGCCTCGGGTGGTCAAAGGGGCTTGGTGGTTATAGGGTTTAGTGTCTGTAAGGGTTTATTTCCCCCCCCCCCCCCCTCCCCTGATTTTCACCACTCCTGCCGTGGTTTCCTGAGGCCGAAACTCGGAGTGGGGGGTGGGGTTTAGGGCTTACTGGGTTCTTGTTAAAGGTTTTAGTTTAAGTTACCATAGTACTGAAACCCTATTATTTACCGTAGATCCCTATTATGGTAACTTAACTTAAGTCGCGTAACAAGAACCCAGGGCGTAGGGGAACTTCAGAGCTTTGGGGTCAAGGCTTTGGATGTCGGGCGTTTTGCATCGGGGTTCGTCTCTATTCTGAACTATCCTACGTTTCGTGGACCAACGAAAGGGTGCGGAGAGCAGAGCAGAGTTTGTCTGAATAATGGTTCTTAGGGTTCAAAGTTGGCGCTTATGGCCAGCGGCTAGGATTAAGGGCTTACTTCCGTTTGGTGATGGGCTTGCAGTTTCCAGGTTTCGCGCTGGAGACTTGCTTTTGGACGCAAGGGGTCGCAAGGCGGTTTCGGAGGTAGATTTGAGATTAGTCGCTTTTTGGGGGCTCTCCCCAGAGGCCCCTAAGTAGCTCCTTTTTACGGCTTCTATTTAGAATCCTATAAGGTATTCCCAAAAAGGAACTACTTAAGGGGCCTATGTCAGCTCAAGACTTCAGACACTTCAGGACTTTCACAGAGGTTTGTTGCGCCTTTTATAGGGCCAGGATCTCGAAGGACAGCCAAGAAGCCAAAGCCCAACACCCCGGATGGGGAAACAGAAGCTACCTACTCATGCTTACAAAGACCCTGATGGAGGAACCTGATCCAGAAACCCCGGCCCTATGACACCCAAAATATTAGGGCTCATATAAAGAGAATCCCAATAAAAAGGGCCAGAGGCTCCTCATCCTTGTTTCTACCCTAAAGTCTCCAAACTAAACCCTGAACCCCTAAACCCCTAAACCCTTAAACCCCTAAGCCCTAAAACCCCTAAGCCCCCTAAACCCCTAAACCCCTAAATCCTAAATCCTAAAACCCCTAATTAAACCCTAAAGTCCCCAAACTTCCCCAACTTCCCGGAACGCGAGAGCCCTCTTCAAAGGGAGACTCTCAGATGCAGGCCCACGGCACAGCCAATGTCTAAGGCTCGAAGGTTGCCTGATTCAAAGGTTTTTTTTTTTATTGCTCCTTTTTCAGATTCTAAGGGTTTAGGGTTTGGGGTTTAGGGAACCCCTAGACCCCTAAACCCTCAACCCCTAGACCATAAAGGGACCGTGATGATCAGTGTGGGCTCATGAGGCGGCACGTGGGAACCCTGACAAATACTGCCACTAATTCTTGCAGGCTTTTTGCAGTAGGCTCCAGAAGACAACTGACGGGTTGCACTAAAATCTTTAGAACCGGACTTGGCATCCCACCGAGACACCATAAACTTATTATGATGTAATGGGATCAAGAGCGCTCAGCCTATCATCTGAGTGGAAACGCACACTTCCTCCAGGATTGCGATACCTGATTCTGCCCAAACCCTTACATCCTGGAAGCTAACGCTTGACGGGCTGAATAATTAAAGTAGGATTTCGCGGCATATCACCGTATAGTCAAACAGGGACTGTAAGGGGAGGGCTACTTCACAGTATTCAGACATCTATACTGCATGACACGCTTGCCCTCCTTTATCCCGATACTGTTGCAAACGAGGCGTTCATCGAGGGCTTCTGATGTGGGTTGGCGATTCGAGGCTTCAGGAGGCTCTCGTCAGCCCAAGAGCAGCGACCCTGTCAACCGGAAACTCAACTCGTTAAGCCATCGCCAAACAGACAACACCAGTCGAGCCACTTCTACGTAGTGCAAGTAGTGAGCACACGCAAGACTTGCTAGACATTTAGCCTTCGTAGGAACCAGCGACAACATCAAAAAGGATTCAGAACTCAAACTCGTGTGGACCTCCTCTTCCAGTCACTGCAGCCTCGCTCGAGGATGCAGTGAACACGGCTGCAAACATGCAAGGGCCGTGAGTGATTTTGTAGTTGAAGGTTTACACAAGGCCAAGGTGTTCGGTGATTTCCGCGGTTGCTCGAATGTTTTGGGCAAAATTGGTAATTAGAGGTTTCCCTGAATTCTACTTCAATTTCTAGGTTGATCGAGAGGAGTATGTCTATGTATTGGGTTTGGGTTTGGGGCTTCGGGATCACGCCGGAATTCGGATTCAGGCTTTATAGGGTTTCGGGCTAAGGGCTTGGGCGCTGCTGCATGCGTGAGGCCACTACAAACCTTTTTAAGTCGAACAGTCTCTATTTTTTGTTTCGATGGTGGGGAGACTTGAATAGTACGTTTATACGCAGTATATGTAGTATAAAAAGGGGATATGATGTCCTAACTAATGATTCCTCGGGTTGTCTAGGCTTCAAAACTTCAACCCTAAAGCCTAAAACCAAAAAGTTGCATACCCGAAACCAGAAAACTCCCACAAACCCCAAGAACGGCATGCTAAACTGCTAAGGCTGTCGGTGAACCCCCGCCTTCCTCAGGATCGGATCTCAACTTGGGGTGTTTTTTTGCGCGCCCTTTTCCCTCTGCAGACTCATCTTTGGGGCTAGGGGTTATAAGGCTTTTAGGCGGAAGCCGGAGTTTCGTCAAGCTATGTGTGTGTGTGTAAACTTTATCCCTGGGTTCTGAAAGCAAGGATGCGGCTTTTTTTGAGAAGGGCGGCTTTGGTGTCGGTATCTTGGACATCACTAGTGACTAGTGCCCGCGACCTAAATCCCCAAGAGCATTTTTTCGCCAAGACTCACAAGAAGCCCTACGTACACTCGCCCAAACCCGTAAAAAGAGCCCTGAATTACCCATAGGCCCCTAAGTAGTTCCTTTTCGTGGCTCATATTTAGAACCCTATAAGGGTACTCCCAAAAAGGAGCTACTTAGGGGCCTATGGGTACTTCATACCAGGATCCCCCTGATTCTCTCCAACTCCAGGGGGCGCTGGAGAAACCAAGCTTCAACAAGGGCTCAGATTGCAGGGCATTGTATAATGTAGGGGCCTGAATAACTAGAATAGGGTTTTGGGGGTTCCGCATTATAATTTTAGTATAATGGGCCCCAAAACCCTATTCTAATTCTTAATTCTAATTATTAAGGCCTCGATATTAATCACACTCAGCGGGACAAGTAAGAGGGGCTCTTGGCTCTGGCGAGCCCATCGGAAACAGACAGCCAGTTTGAGCTCTTGCGCCTTTGCGTGTCAGCGGCGGTTCCTGTGTCACTGCTATGCGTCAAACACCGGAACAACTGCTAAAAAATTGGCTTTATAACAGGTAAACGATACACAGATGATATGCATATACAGATATTTTACGATGTAGATTGATGAACGAGATAAATACAAACAAGAAGTTAACTGCGTTCAACAGATTGCAGAATATTTTGAAAGATGTTTTGACTACTTGAGAACATATGTAAAATAGATATTTAGAATCTGTCAGAAAATATGTAGCCTGCTTCCAGACTATTTTCACAAATAATATTTGGAGTACTTTAGCATATCTTGAAAGAGATGTTGCGTGGAACTAGAATATTTCCGGTTTTTGACATCACCCCAAAACAATTGGTTCTCACCGGCATTCTAGTACACCTGATATACTGGTGCAGGGCAGTGTAGGGACCATAAGTGACCATAAGTCAGGAGATATTGCTGCTGCCAGAAGTCTTCCGTCCCCTCTTCGGAAACCCGAAAAAAACACCCCCAAAGGCCCAAAAGCAAAAACCCCCACCACAGCTTTTGTTGGTACAAGCAGCATCAGTTTCTTGCCCGGCAGGCCCAGAAGACGGTGTCGGAATCCAAGAAAACCTCCGTCTTCAGAAGCTGTGCCACTGCCTCGCGCACGCCCCCAACTTTATAACGAAAGTCGTGTCCGGCAAGGATGCCTCCATGTGAGACCTTTGGCCACCAAGCACTGATGTCCGCATAAACGTCTGGATAAAGGTGCGATGCATCTACGAAAACCAAGTCAAGCGAAGCGTCGGCAAAAGCTTCCGCTGCTAAGTGGCTCATCTGTTGATGGACGACGACCCTCCGCAATGGTGGCCGACTGCAAAGAGATATATGAGGCCATGTGATGGCAGGTACTCCAAGTGGACACTCTTCGTAACCGAGGTCCAGACTTATGATGGACTCTGCCGAGGACCGCATTGTCGGCTTGAACTCTTCCCCGGCATTCTCGGGATCAAACGTGTCCACCAGGTGAACCTCCCTTAACAGTGGCCGAAGCTCACTCACAAGGAAGCGTGACAGATTTCCCACCGAAACCCCGAGCTCCACGAAGTCGAGACCATCCCTCTTTGACAAGGACAGCTCCTTCGTGAGGCGCTCCAGCACGGCCCCACGGTGGGCTTTCGCAGGTCCGGGAAGGCACGTCGCCTCCACAGCACGTAGTGGGTACCCCAAGGGCCGAGGCGGAAATCTGAACTGCTCAGTCGAAGGCTGTGGGTGGAAAACTGCCTGCTGCTTGTCCAGCCTCATCTGGTTCATTTCGAAGATGTACGTGTTGATTGTCAAGATTGAGTTGTACAGCTGATCCACGATGTCGTCACGGCCAAAAGCAAGGCTACTTGAAAGTACCACTGAGATGTCGTGCCAGTCTTTCTGTCGAGGCCAACAAGGGGTCAGCCGAGACTCCTCATAGTCGTCCACCATCCCGAGCGTAATGTTCTCAAGCTGTGCCGCCTGCAATTGTCGCTCGGCGCAGCGTCTGAAACAAGCTGCTGCTTTTTGGCAGGCGGCCGCACAGTTGCGGAAACTGTAATGTAGGGCGGCCAGGTGGCTGCTGGCTTCCACTACACACTTGGCTCCAGGGTATAGGGGCCACACCTGCTGCACGCCGTCCAGAGTCCCGTTCTCACGCCAACCATGCAACAGCGTAACAGGCACGTGGGCACGATCAAGAGCACCCTCATCGGAACAGCAAACATAAAAGGTGAGGCTCCCGTTGAAGCAGCCAGCCTCCTCTTGCATCTTGCTTCCAGAACCCTCGCAACAGAATTGCAAAGCATCCGCGCTGTTGTAACAGCCATGGGAAAGGATTGCAGCATGTGGGTAAAAGAACGAGACCAAAAGATTTGGGCAAGTGGCATCAAAATGTGTCTCACCGGCCTGGATTCAGGCTTCGCCCCTGTGGCATACCACGGCAAAGCGACCGAACCCATGGTGCCCGCTTGACCAACGGCTTCAGCATACCTCGTTTCCGTGTATATTATATAACATCTATGAGTAGGAATTCGAAGAGGGTTCTTGGGGTTGCGATTATCGTCGGGCTGTGCTACCATGATCATGCCCGCAAAGCTGTCATGTTCGTACGATTTAGTTGCATTGTGACTGTTGTCGATCACTTATACGGCTTGGGGTAAAGAAGCTGCGACGGTCGGCAAGCTGCGTCCCTGTTATGGAATATGCGGTTCGCGATGAGCATGCGGTGATCTGATCACGAATTCTGCTGTGAATGTGAGGTGCATGTGTGTATGGGGTTCCAAAGGAAACCAGCAACACAGACCTGACTTCCTTGCTGGGTGCAGCTGTCTCAGCTGTCTCATAAGCGGGTTGCGTGGGTGGTGAGTCGCGGTGTCAGAGGTTGGGAGAGTCAGACAGAAAACCTCAAAACGCAACCGCCGTAACTCTAGGAAACAGAGAGCATGAGCTGCTGTATGACATTCATTCTTGTCCTTCTTGTCCATGCACGAGCCCCTGCATCTGCTTGACACCTGCCCTGCCTCCGCCAGCATCTTGGCAACGCGCTGCGGGAAGCGCAGCGCGTGCTCCGGAGCCTGCAAGGCGACAGGAAGGCTCCAATAAAGAGAGATGTGTCCTTCCGTAGAGTTTCCGCCTCCGCTGGCGGATGCCGACGGTGTCGCAAGTCCGGTAGTTGGCGCTCGAAAGAGTTTCATGGCTGACCCAAAAACCCTAAACCCTAATCCTGTCAACTGGATCGATCCCTTAAGCCTTAGACCGAATTAACCCTAATCCTGTCAACTGGATCGATCCCTTAAGCCTTAGACCTAACTAACCCTAATCCTGTGAACTGGATCGATCCCTTAGACCTTTGGGAACTCGCAGGTCTCTCTGCTTGGAAACTTCCCGATGCCAAACTCCTGAAACCTCTGACACCGGGCGTTGCAGCAAAGCGCCGAGGTCGCTACCGACGGGTGACCGAGGATTGGGTCAACCTCAGCAGCAAAGTTGATTAGACCGGAAACGATTGCTGCTAACTTCTACCTATATCTGTCTGACTTCTATCTATCTGTGGCAGCATTCTTGTCATAGTGTGACTTGAAGAAACTCGTAAGATGAAAGCCAGGCCCTGTCTGGAAGTGCTTCCTTCGCATTGCACGATTTAAGGAGTCACAGGCGTGGAACAAATCTGTGCTCTGGATGTGCGTGAAGATGCTGATGGCTGCGAATCTCTGTAGAAGCTTTGGCCACGTTGCAAGTGCACCAGATGCTGTTGAAGCTAACCCTCGACACTCAATCGCGCCAATGGGAGGAACGGCCGGATCCAAACCAACGATGACGCATCTGAGTTCTACATGTGTGCAAGGCCAGACCTAATTAAGAACTACCCAGGGTAACCCTTCTAATTCAGTGTGCACCGTTGTGGTAACTAGTCTTGTTGTCCCTCACTACGGAAACGATTGTCGAAACGACGCATACTGTGGCCAGTCTTTGCGTCTTCTGATTCTATCACTACTGTCGTGCATGCTGCTGTCGGCCACCACCAGCATCATGACCAGTACCATTCGTACTATCCGCCACGAACTACCTATAGTCTCCATTGTAGTTCTTTTTTTCGGTTTAACCAAGTCTATATTAAGGATCCTAAAAGGTAACCCCAAAAAAGAACTACAATGGAGACTATAGGCACTTCCTTTGCTGTGCTCAGCAGGTCCGTCCGATCTCGGTTGTCGACCCCAAGGCTCAAGCCCCAAGAGAACAAAAACCACAGACCTCAAATCCCAAGCCCAGCACGGCAACTCTTTGAGCTCTGGTTTTAGGGTTTAGGCTTTTAGGGTTTTCGGGTTTAGGGTCACCCTAAACCCTAAACCCTATAACCCTAAATCCCCAAACCCTAAACCCCCAAACCCTAAACCCTAAACGTTTAGGGTCTAAGTCTAGGGTTTAGGGGCCTCAACACCTGAAACCTACTAAAGCCCTCGACTCCCTGGGGCCTCCCAACGGCCTCAAAAAGCCTCACAAGCTGAAACCCGAAGCCCCGAAATCCGAAAACCCTGAAACCCTAAACCCCTAACCTAAACCCTAAACCCTAAAATCGAAATCCTAAAAGCAATGAAATCCTAAAGCCCTAACCTAAACCCTAAACCCTAAACCCGAAATCCTAAAAACCAATGAAATCCCAAAGCCCTAACCTGAACCCTAAACCCTAAACCCGAAATCCTAGAGCTCCTAAGCCCCAAGGCTCCAAGCCCTGACAGCCGGTAGGTTTAGGGTTTAGGGGTGTAGGGTTTAGGGTTTTAGGGTTTAGGATCTAGGGTTATGATTTAGGGTTTACGGGTTACGGGGTTAGGGTTTAGGGGT